GTTGTTAAAAGCGCTCTCCAGGTTGTTTACAGGATATGACACCTGGGGCACTTCATAGTTGTTGGTTGTCCTCCTGGAAGGTTCCAACCTTTTATCATTTCTTTGATTGTATTCTGTGGGTCAGGAGAGAAAAACCCTGTTGGCCCGATGTTCGTTTTTATTCCGGAGTTCCGCCGGGATTAGGCAATAAGTTTATTTTTATCAAACACTGTGCGCCGGGCAGAATATTTAAGAATAAATTGGTAGCCGGCGGCGCGGCTCACTAGGCTAATCCTCCGCCTTGCGGCGCCGGCACACCAGGTTCTAGTCCCGGTCAGGGTGCCAGATTCTGTCCCGGTTGTCCCTCTTCCAGGCCAGCTCTCTGCTGTGGCCCGGGAAGGCAGTGGAGGATGGCCCAGGTCCTTGGGCCCTGCACCCCATGGGAGACCAGGAGAAGCACCTGGCTCCTGCCATTGGATCGGCGCGGTGCGCTGGCCGCAGCGCGCCGGCCGCGGCGGCCATTGGAGGGTGAACCAATGGCAAAAGGAAGACCTTTCTCTCTATCTCTTTCTCTCACTATCCACTCTGTCAAAAAAAAAAAAAAAAGAATAAATTAGTAATTATTTCCTGTATCCCTAACCTAATAGAACATACACATTTTCCTGCTGGGTACACTTCATATGTCTTTATGATTCCCCAACAGTTTTCTTTTCAAAAAAATAAACAATGTTTAATTTATGAAAAGCTGTATTCATAAGTAAGAAGTCTCCTAAGAGTCCATAAAAAAAAAGCTGGATAAAGAAATGTTGTAGGTGCTGACTAGAGCTATGACATAGTGAACATTCTTTTGTATCACCGTTACCTAGGAGTTGAAGAATCACAAAGGGCATTTCATTTGGAGGACTTGACTATCTCTGGCAAGATCCCTCTTGAGTATCCTCTTCCTTCACCTCCAAAAAAATCCTAATTTTTATTTCTGATTTTTGTCCAAGTGTATATGGAGTCAAGGATCCGGACAATTACAGCATATTTTGTCATTTGGTATGATCTAAATGTAAATATTTCAACCTGGAGAGTATTTTAAGTTTCAAGGTTTGGGTGTGAAGATCTGTTTTCTGTTTAAGTTATTAAGCTTTAGTGTCTGGGAAAATTAAGGTAAATATCTATGTTTGTATCATTTAAAGGCATCTAATTATTTGTTAATAGCTATCTATGTAATATGCAGTCTTATTTGGCAGTTAACATCATAGATTGGAAATTAGTTGTTTAAACTTAATCTGAGTGGATCAAATAACCAATGACTTGTTTACTAAACCATTCTTCATGCCGTGAAATGTAGCTGTTTTCGTCTTTACATGAGTGAACAGTGAACAATCAAGTAAAAACCCTTGACTCTATATGTTATACTTTCATTTATGAAGATCATCGGTTGTTTTGTGATGTTGCCATAAAACAATATCAGCCTAGTAAACATTTCTGGAGAGAGAGATTAAGGTGCCTTTTCTCAAGCGTATTTAGTTAGGCTTTGTCATTTTAAGCCATGGTTTTGACTTCATTTGATTAATATAAGATTTCATTTTATTTTGACAGCCATCTTTTTAGACATGAATGAGTACAAGCTTTTACATATTCATTAGAATTTCTTTTTCTGAAAATGATTTATTTTACTTATTTGAAATATATGGTGACAGAAAGGGAGAAACAGAAATGAATTCTTCTATCCACTGATTCACTCTCCAAATGGCTGCAGCCAAGAATTCCATCCAGGTCTCCCATGTAGGTGGCAGGGGCCCAAGTATTAGTACCATCTCTGGTTGCTTCCCCACACACATTAGCAGAGAGCTGGATTGGAAGCAGAGCAGCTGGGACTTGAACTGCTGCTCCATTATGGAATATTGGCACTGTAGGCTGTGGCTTAATGCACTGTGCCACCGTGTCGATCCCTTATTGGAATTTTTGTAGTTCCATTTATCAGTGGGGATTCCATGCATCAAGTGAGGGTAGTTTTTGCATCTTTTTTTCTTTATAAATAGACAAAATTTTCTTGGATTCAATATTAGGTTTTTGGGGTTTTTTTTAATAGTGCCCAAAATGAGAAAGTTTATTTATAAGATAAGAAAGCAAACACACACACACGTAGGCACATGGCCATAGTTAGGGTGGGCCAGGTTATTTAGGAAAAAGTATGTCACTTTTTATGACTGCTCACTTATTTTGAAAGTTTTTAATATTTCACCAACATTAGTTTATCTTCCTTACAGGCCTTTTAAATTTCTTGAAGCATTTAGCACCAGCTTAGATCATAGACAATGTCCTTTTGGACTCATTTGCTTGCTTTTTCAGACTCCCGTGATCAACTCAGAAGTCCTGGAATTGTGTCTTAAATTCTGTACTATCCACATTTTTTTCCTGATGCATGGTTAAAAATAAGAATGCAACATAGACTAAAGTTCCTTCATGCTCATTCATAGCTATGAATTCAACTTTCTAAAAGTACTGTGCTTGAGCAGCAATGACTTCTTTGTATAGGATTGGTTTCCAAAAAGAAAGGATGCAGTTCACATTTAGCATCTGTTTCTTCTTTAATCTATTCAAGAGACGTCTATCTCAATATGGAATGTGAAAAGATCATTAACTTTTCTTCTCCAGAGTTTTAAAAAAGAGCAAAGATTGTACTTCTAGTTTGCAATTTTGTTTGATATATGCCATGTCAAAAGGAATTGAGAAAAAAAATAACCTCATTGAAATTAAAATTACTTTGTTTTACTAGATGGAGAGTTATCAAGTGAAGGCTACCACTGCAACCCAGTACACCACTAATTACTCACAAATGATGAGTTATCCCAAGAGGTATACCAGATGGCCTTCCTTTCCACAATATTGGATACAACAAGTATGAATTTTATCCTTGGATAAGTTTTGTTTTCTGTTTTTTTGTTTTATGGCTTTAGGAGAGGGGGTGCAGGTAAAAAGTTGATCTTTCCACTCCAATGCACATATTTCTTATGACTTTATTAAATTTTACTGGGGTGGGGGAGGACCTGTTCTTACTAAAGTATACTGAATTTCTCCTAAGGGCCCATTGATCAGATTATCATTTATCTTTGAGCATTTTGAGACTTCCATATTAGTGGCTCTGAATGTTATTCCAAAAAGCAATAATGATTTTTTCATATCATAATGAACAGAAAAGTATATCATTAAAGAATTGTTTATTTATAGATTATATTGGTGCAAGTTAACCCTGGGGAGACTCTCACTATCAAGTCTAATGATGGGAACATTCAAAATATACAAGGTCAGTGAAATGTAATTAGATGTATGCTATTTGATGTCAGATAGAATGAATTTAAATATTAGTGTGAAACGACTTTACTAGTATATATCACTTATATCCTTTGCTGTTTGAGCCAAATTGAATGCTTTTAAATTAATATAGTTCTCATAGGGGCTTAGCATCAATGAAATGTCCAGGGCTCATCTTGCTAACCTTGAGACCTTCAAGAGTAAGGTACTTCAAAAAAATCAAAGGATATTAATTCAAGAATTCAGTTTGAAGAAGTCCAGATTTTGGAGATATTAATAACCACTTAGAGTTTTAGACTAGTCTCCTGTAGCCACAGCTGAGGCTTTCAGATTGCTCATCCATTTGTATATTCAACAATTATTTCTTTAGTGCCAGGCTTGCACCAGCACTATACTAGACAGTTAGATACTGTATAATTTTATTATATATATATACCTTAAATACATATTATATAATTATATATCTTATCATATATACACAAACATCTCAATTTGAAATAGTTAAGCTTTATCTATTTCAAACAGAGATGATTATTTCTGTTTTTATGCCAATTGTGCATCCTAAAGTGATTTTGTGGTGTCTCAAGAATTTCTAAAAACATTATCATCCAGCAATGGATTTTATATGGCTACCATGTAAAGTTCATCAGGAACTCGTATTTATTATATTTCCTATTGTTAAAAATAAATTACCATTCTATGATCTGAAAGTCACATATATTTTTAGTACTAAGTACCAATTATAGTAATCTCAGATAAACAAAAGCATGATGACATATAAAAGTTTCTATTCTGTGTTGTATTTCAAATTGCTATGCAATTGTGTATTTAAAGACAGAATACTTATAATAGTAGGGCATCACATAAGTAGCATTGACTCCTTTATAATACACTGTTTTCTAACAACTATTTCACGTTATTGGTGAGAAGCCTTAAAAGGAGAATTGATTTAAGTTTTACTAGGTAACATCACTATAAAAGTATATTTTGTTGTATAAAGTAAAACTTCTGTTATGCAATGTATAAACACGATACATGAGAAAAAATAGGTAAGTAAAAATTAGATTATACCAAGAGGCTAATAGTTCATTTTCATTAGCAGTAAAATTTGCCAATATTTTTATAGTACAAATTTTACCCAGTACTCATTACATGCCTTGATTATTTCCCACTGGTTATGACAAATTTTCATTGACTCATCTACCTTCATGAGTAAACAACATACAAGTTTTAAAATGGCTAGCTATTGTTAAGGCTTGGTGCTGATTTTCACTATTTAAAATTAACTGGTTCTTATAATGGACTTTATTTAAAGTTATTGCAATATTTATTAATAATAATTATCTTTTAGGGCCTGCTGATGTGCCTCTGATGTCACCAAGTGGTATTTTGCCACCTATATATCTTCCTCCTGGTTACATGTCTCAGGTATTGAACATTTTTCATTATGTTACTACATGATTAAGACAACTTTAGAAATATTATTTATATATTCACTCTGCTGTTATTATCACCGCTAAAAAGCAATTACTTTTAACAAAATCTTTAAGGATTGATATTGTTGTGTAGTGGGTTAAGCTGCTACTTGTAATGCCAGTATCCCATATCAGAGCTCTTGTTCGAGTCCCAGCTGCTCCGTTTTGGATCCAGCTTCCTGATAATTCGCCTGGTAAGACAGTGGAAGATGGACCAAGTACTTGGGTCCCTGCCACCCACAAGGGAGATCTAGATGGAGTTCCAGGCTTCTGGCTTCGGCCTGGCGCAGTCCTGGTTGTTGCAGCCATTTGAGGAATGAACCAGCAGATGGAAGATCTCTTTCTTAAGATTTAAATATTTTCTTAAAGATTTATTTATTTATTTGAAAGGTGGAGTTACAGAGAGGCAGAAGCAGAGAGAGAGAGAGAGAGAGAGAGAGAGAGAAATCTTCCATCCATTGGTTCACTCCCCAGATGGCCACAATGGCCACAGCAGTGCCAATCCAAAGCCAGGAGCCAGGAGCTTCTTCCGGGTCTCCCACGTGGGTGCAGGGGCCCTAGGACTTGGGACATCTTTCACTGCTTTCCCAGGCCATAGCAGAGAGCTGGATTGGAAGTGGAGCAGCCAGGTCTCAAACAGGCGCCCATATGGGATGCCAGCACTGCAGGCAGCGGCTTTACTGCTATGCCACAGCGCTGGCTCCCAAATAAATAAATAAATATCTAAAAGCCCATCTGGGGCTCCCACATGGGTCCAAGCACTTTAGCCATCATCTGCTGCTTTCCCAGGAACATCTGCAAGGAGCTAGATGGGAGGCAGAGCAGATGGGACTCGAACCAGAGCTCTAACATGGAATTATGGCTTCACAAGCAGCAGCTTCCCACACTGCACCACAACATCAGCCCCAATAAATAAAGCTTTCTAAAAAAGAAAAGAAAAAGAAAAAAAAACTTAAAAGAAATTATTTTAAACAATTGATTTTTATCCAGACTTCCCTTACATTGGCTCATAAATGATACCAAGTTCACTTAGTGAATTTGGATCTCTTAGTATTTGTTAATCCTCTGTTCTTTGTTTCTGAATACTTTAAACCATTTTAATTATCTAGTACAATTGCTACAACAGTGACTTCTGAGAGTGTATGAGCTCTAGTCTGTAAAATTACTTAGCATCTTCAGTTCAGTAGTATTTCATTTTCAGACTATTAATGCAGTTTTAAGAATATTCCATAGTAATCAAGCACCTAAAATGGTCAGGAAATTCTGGCTGCTATAAACATTAATAAACTATCCCAAGACCTTGGAAATTTAATAATTGAGAATACATCTTTTTCTGCTTCTTCTACTTTTTGCCTTAGTAGCTTATTTGAATCTATGACACAAATGTGGAGATTAAGAGCATGCTGAATAAGTCAATATAAAATGCAAAGGGTATTCAACACAGTTCATGGAAATCTGTGTTATGAAAAAACTATGCATGGATTACAAAATTTGTTTGTACCAAATAAAATCAAAGTTCATTTTCCATTAATGTTTTGTAGTACCCTTTATTTCTCAATGGAATAATCTATTGGTCAATATCTAGTAAAAATATAAATGTGTATACTTTTTGTTCCAGAGGTTCTAATAAAAGGAATTTATCCAAAAGATATATTTTCATAAATTTTCAATTATAAATTCACAAGAGTATTTTTTACAATATAGTCACAAAAAACTGGAAACAATCTACATACTTATCAATGGACAACTAACTATATAGCAATAGAGCACTATGTAGCTGTGATAAAAAAAAAGAATGGGGAAGATCTATGTACTGGTATAGAAAGGTCTTCAAGAATATAAAAACTGTACATATGGCTTATCATTCAGTATATAATTATAAATATTTCTTCACTGAATCATACTATGACATGATAACAATATACTTTTTCCCACATTAAAAAAAAAGGAAATGGAGAAGAGGGGAATGGTGAGGACTCTTGGGGTAATAGAAATGTGTTGTTCTTAATTTAGATATTGGTTATGCATGTGATCAGAGAACCAAAAACTAATTTTTCTACACACTTATGTGCATTTCTTGGTATGTATACCGTATTTCAATAAAATGTTTAAAAAAAGAAAAGTCTTCAAGAGAGTGTGTTAAATACAAAAAGGAAGGCATCAAATAGTGCAAATAATGCTACTTTTATGTAATAAAAAAGAAAAGAAGAATTTTCATTCTTATTTGCTTGTATAGGCATGAAGGAACTCTGGAAAGAGTCATAAAATACCAACATTCATTATCTATTAGTAGTGAATAGATAAGGGCTAGGAGAGAAACCTTTAATTGTATACTTTTTTTATACCTATGGTTTCAAAATATATTGATGTATTATCTATTATGAAAATACCTCTTTAAAAGCTATATAATACACATGGGAAAAGGAAGGATTATCTTGCCTTCTGCTTGATATTACAATTTAACTCAATTATTGGTTTTTAGTGCTTTAGGTTTCTAAATTAACACAAGATGTAAGCCCAAAAATTGGTAGAAAATGCTTACTTTTATGGTTTCTTATATGTTTGTATGATTATGTCTTCCATCTTAGGTGGTAGAAGAAAATGGGATTCGCAAAATTATCATTGTGCCTCAGACAATTGACTGTCATGTGTCCGTGCCTGCTTCAGTGCAAGTACCACAGTTCATACTACCATTCTCTCCTGTGTATCCACAAGCCCCCGAACTGATGTATTCCTCAAATCAAGGAGAATTCCCACCGCCTTATATCCAACAGCCAGGGCCACAGCAGCTGATGCCACCACCACCACCACCACCGCTGCCACCACCACCACCAGCAACATTTATGTACCAACAAAATCATGGTAGTATATGTTTCTTATATAGCAAATATTTTTAGTTTATGGAAATTAACATATTTGGACAATTATTAAAATTTAAAAAGCAGGAAATAAGAACACTTCAATGAATAATGGGATTTGTGTGTTTGGCAAAATAGAGTTTCCTATATATGTGTGCTGTAGTTTGATATAACAATGTGATTTATGATATTTAATTTTACTGATTAGGTCTATAAAATCAGATTCTAAAACTGTAAAATAATGTTTAGGCTATGAATGCCATATACTGGAAATATATGAAAGATATTGGAGGGTCAGCATTACAATCATCTTAAGAACTTAATATTTAGAAATGGAGTTACTACCTAGGGAGAAAGTATATTTGCTCGTATTTTTCTTTCTGTACGTACCACTTATTATAAACAGTCAAACATATGCCTAGTATCTGTATTAAAGCAAACTAATAAAAATTTTTTAAAGTAACACATGTCTTACCAGTGTTCTTTTGTTGGTTAGGTAAAAAACAACTTCAGATATGTAACTATAATAATTAGAATTATTATTAAACAGTATCCCATTGTCTCTTTTAGCAACCTATTCCCAGAAAAGACGAAACTATAACCAACCTGATGAAAGGGCTACTAGAATGGGAGAACATATGAGGACAAAACCAAGACAACGTCAAGTTGGTGGACACAAGAGTAACCATGTGTTTAACAACAACTCCTTGCTTGTAAACAAAACTTATGGTTTTTCTAATGTTTTTGATACTCCAAGCACTTATATAATGAACTGTACTCCAGACACCTACAATGCAGACAATCCCTTGAGCGTTTACAATGCAGACAATGGTCCGAGAACCTACACTGGTGACAATACTCTGAGTACCTCCCACATGGACAGTGTTCAATGCACCTACGCTGTTGAAAGTACTTTATGCACCTACACTGTGAACAATACATTGAGCACTTATGCTGTGGATAATACTTCAAGTACTTACACAATTGAGTACCCTCCAAGCACCTACACCACTGACAAAATTCCCAACAATTCTTCTACTGCTCACATCCCTAGCACTTCCACCTCAGATGCTATTCAGTGCCTTGCAGCCAGTGATAGTGTTCCAGGACCTTCTGGCATTAATAATGTTCCCAAGACTAACACGAATGACAAAACTCCCAGAACATCAACTATTGACAGTATTCCAAGCTCTTCTACTACTGACAGTGCTCCAAACACTTCTATCTCGGAAAATATCCAAAGCACTTGTGCTATTGACAGTGTTCCCAGTACTTCCAATACTGCCTATGCTCAAATTGAGACTAGTCACAGAAATAAATGGAGCACTGTGACAGTCAGCGACATCAAACAGAAATCAGGAGGAAAACAAAACAAGAGCCCATCCTCAAATGCAAAGGAAAAAGGTAAAATAGATTTCAGTTTCATTGCCAGTGAATAGATATCCTAATACTTAGAAATCACAGTGCATTTAAAATATTTCGGTGCTATTTTCTGCTTCCATTTCCTCTTCTTTGAACCCCTACTTGTAATTTTTTTTACTTCACTATTATCACTTTTGATTAACAGATTATAATTGTGTACATTTATCAGGTACAATGTGGTGTTTTGATATATGTATACAATCTGAAATGGTTACATAAAGCTAATTAACACAATTATCACCTCATTTATCATTTTTTATGGTGAGACATTTAAAATTTACTATCTTACCTGTTTTGAAATATGTAACACATTGTTATTGACTATAGTCACCCTGTTAAGCAGTTGATTTCAAAACCTACTCCTCCTACCTATCTGAAACTTTGTTCCTGTCAATCAACAACTCTCCATTCTCTCCCTCCTCACCCCACTCCCTAGTCTCTGGTAACCATCATTCTACTCTACTTCTATGAGTTCAACTTTATTATATTTCACATACAAATATAGTGAAGATCATGTGGTATTTGTCTTTGTACACCTGAATTCTTTCACTTAACATAATGCTCTCCAGGTTCACCCATATGGTAGCAAATTACAGAATTTAAATATTTATTTATCTATTTATTTGAAAGGCAGAGTGACAGAGAGAGGGGGAAGAAAAAGAGCAAAGAGATCTTTCATCTACTGTTTCACTCCCCAAATGATTGCAATGGCCAGGGCTGGGCCAGGCTGAAGCCAGAAGCCAGGAACTCCATCCTGGTCTCCCTAATGCATAGCAGGATCCCAAGTACTTGGGCCATCCTCCATCAATTTCTCAGGTGCATTAGCAGGAAGTTATTGACACTTGGATATAGGAAGCCAGTGTCACAAATGGCAGCTTAAGTTTCTATGCCACAGCACTTGCCCTTTAAGGCTGAATAGTGCAAAAAACCCTAGTTAAACTGCATTCTAAAATCATGAAGGAATTACTATCCTTAGGTAAAATGTGCCTTCCACATAATTATTTCTAATTGCCTATCAGCAAAACATTGCAAATTACTCTATGATCCTAACCCATTCACATGATTTTATTTAAATTGAGAATGCTTGTTTGTATTTTGTTAGGATCTGTTTAATACTATACACTTTAGACATCCCTTTTTTTAAAAAAATTTAATATAAATTACTTAATAGATCTATTTTAATGTAATTGTTTAACAGATCTCTCAGTGATGGTACCCTTGTATTTGAATAACAAACATCTAACTCCTTTATCTTGTTTTTGTCATTTCTTCGTTACTTTTGGAATGTAAAACAGAAGATGGGAAGTCATGCTGTTTCAATATTGAGAAACCTGTGGTAAGTAACTAAAATGAATATCTAAATTTAAATATTTCTTCGAACTCACCTCGCCACTGTAAAACATGCAAAATCACTGGTATTTTTCTCTATATTGTTTTAATTTGCAGCCTTTATCTAGTTAAAATATCATAGTCTCCTTTAGCAGTTCAATAAATAAATATTCAGTGTGGCTTTGTTAACAATAACATTAACAGCTTACTGTTTAATCACAGTATTTAAGTATCTAATATGAAAATAATAAACATCAGAAATGACTTAAGGAGACTATATCATAAATCACAAATTATAATTTTTAAGTATGCTACTTGGATTCTTGCTATTTTAGGTCTCCGATATTCAAACAAGATCTGCAATAATTTCATGGAATTTGCATGACTCTGAGAAATATCATCAGACTGAACCTCCTGTAACATTTGAGTTGGCAATTTCAAACAGTGGTAAAGACGGAAAATATGAAAACATATATATGTAAGTGTCTCTCTTTTTAATCATTTCTCATAATTCAATTTGAATATGCTGTGTGAAAATGCAGAGTCCTAGTTATACCTAGATTGAGTTATAAGAGTTTTTCTGCGATTTTTTTTCCAAGTTTTAAACACATTTTTCTACAGCAATAATTTTCTAAATAGTGGTAGGTTGTAAGATTGGTCCACAAAATTTATTCCATCATAGCATTTTAGAGTTGAGGGAGACCTTAAATATTAACAGTCCAGTCTCTATATTTCATAGACTTCCTATTAGGCAAGTTTAGACTCAGGGAAGAAAAGAAACCCTCCAATTCCCTCTCTTTATTTCTCACTTGGGCAATTAAGAAAAAAAGCCTCATATTATGGTGTATTTGGGTACACAAACAAGGTATTTATGTTGCAATGGGAATTTAGAACTTGGGCTTTCCTGAGAATCTCGCTACAGGAGCTAGTTATAAGGTAGAGGCTATTTAGCCAGATGAGCTTAAGAATGTGCTCAAAAGATAGAATCAGCACTAGGGAGGATATAGTGGAGGACAGAACAGGATCACATCTAGCCACTCCCAACAACTCTGGGTTGGAGAGGAATATGTAATCTGAGCTGAGAGAAGCACGATGGGAAGGAAATCTCAAGTGGAGAAAAAAGAAAATTCCCCAGGCTCACCAAACAATTAGGCAGTAAATCAGCGATTATGGAGCTATCTGTAAGTACTTTAAAAAACATAACACACCTTAAACCTTATTTGCTACAACTTGTTATCTTGATTCTGAAACTCAAAGTGAAAATTTGAATGCAATTATCTATGTATTGTGTAAAATCTTATTTGTTTTACAATGTCAGTTAAAAAAATTTTAATTTAAGAATTATAGTACACATCTTTTATATTGGGTAGGAAGACAGGAATATGTAAAATGTGATGAAAAGCTGTTTATAAAATTAGCATTTCCATTAATTTGCCTAGTGATTTTTCTGGTATTATCATTCACTTTACAAAATCATTAATTTTTATAAAAATATACTGCCTATATTCTGATCATCCTCAGTGGTCTTTGCTTAGAAGTATCAATCTTTTAGCTTTTCTGGAGATTATTTTAGAACCTACAGCTTGAAGGAGTTCCTTGAGGTGGTAGAGTAACCTTAGGGGACTAAGGTTGCTTAGGAAGACAAAGTGTGGAAACTCTATTTTCTGTAGCAGATAGGTGTCCACCCCAGCAAAATTGCTGTGTGACTGAATGCATGATACATGGTATCTTTAAGGTTTTTTATTCTACATTACTTAAACTAAGTTGTTAAAGGCAAATCTGTACAATTATAGTGTGAAGAGTACACAGTGGTAAAATAGCAAAAATTTACTTCTTTTTTAAAAGATTTATTTATTTATTTGAAAGGCAGAGTTACAGAGAGAGGGTGATCTTCCATCTGCTGGTTCACTCCTCAAATGACTGCAACAGCCAGGGCTGGGCCAAGCCAAAGCTAGGAGCCAAGAGCTTCTTCTGGGTCTCCCATATGGGTGCAGGGACCCAAGCACTTGAGCCATCTTCTGTTACTTTCCCAGGCACATTATCAGGGAGTTAGTTTGGAAATAGAGCAGCCAAGACTTGAACTGGCGCCATATGGGATGCTGGCATCACAGGCAGGAGCTTAACACACTCTACCATAATGCTGGCCCCAAATTTTCATTTCTTAAAGTGTTATTAATTTGGCATGCAAATGAAGTGTTTTGAATTATTAATATCATTGTTTTGTGTGCATATAAAATGGATTAAATTTACCCAAACTTTAAGGAGAATTGTGCTTTTTTGTCAGCTGAATATATAAGATTAGAACTGCCTACATAGCTTTTAAAAATGCATGAGCTTGGGGCCGGCACTGTGGCGTAGCAGGTAAAGCCACTGCCTGCAGTGCCGGCATCCCATATGGGCACTGGTTCACGTCCTAGCTGCTCCACTTCCGATCCAGCTCTCTGCTGTGGCCCGGGAAAGCAGTAGAAGATGGTTCAACTCCTTGGGCCCCTGCACCCGAGTGGGAGACCCAGAAGAAGCTCCTGGCTCCTGGCTTTGGATCGGCACAGCTCCGGCCACTGTGGCCAGCTGGGGAGTGAACCAGCAGATTGAAGACCTCTCTCTCTCTCTCTCTCTCTCTCTGTCTGTCTCTCTGTCTCTCTGTCTTTTCTTCTCTCTGTGTAACTCTGACTTTCAAATAAATATTTTTAAAAATAATAATAAAATAAAATTTAAAAATGCATAAGATCCATTATTAACAAAGATTACTGTCTTCACAGTGGAAATGGACTTACATTTACCCTACTTGATCTACAGCCATCCATGGACTATTTCTTAAGGTAAGAATTCCATCCTACACAACCTTCCCCTACTCTAGAGCCATCCAGACTCCCAGTTTATATCAGTTCACAACTTACTATTCTGATAGTCAGTCTTGCTATTTCCTGGCAAAGTGGCCTTTCCTTCAAACGTCAAAACAACCCCCTCCAAAGCCGGATTTAGTTCACTCTCTCTTATTTAGAAGAGGTGAGAAGGTGCTTTGGAAGTCGTTATCTTCAGTGACTCAATTTTGCTGTTAGTATTTTATAATTAGCTCTAGGAAATGTACCTGAAAGTTCAAGTTTGCAGTTAGTATGTATTTTAGGATAACTATTTGAAAGCTTATGACAATTGTCATTACATTTTTAGAGTTACTACCATCAGAGATTCACAACAAAGAACTGTGTCTGAAGTGGTTAGCTTCTCAACACCAGGTTGCGAACCGGACCCTCCACTTCCACCCACACTGATTAACAGATCCAAGAGCAGCCTGAATTTACAATGGAATGTAAGGATTTTATTGGCAAAAGCAACTCAACATGTTTTCATGATCTAAAAATGTTCCCTTATGACTTGAATTTTAAATGCAGAGTTCTGCATGCTTCATCTGAACCTATTTCTCCAGTATTTTTTCTTCTTTTTCTTTATATCTGTATCAAGCATCAAGTAAATTGAGATGTCAATAAGAAATTCAAAAATTAGTAAAAATTGAAGTAGCAATTCTGCAAAATAAATTTAGTTATTTGTGAGGTATATTTATATATATATATAAAACACAACAAAACACAGTACCTAGGCATGTCTTCTACAGTTTTAAACTTTACAGTAATTTACATCATTTCAAATGTATAGGGGCCGGCGCTTTGGCATGGCAGGTGAAGCCACTGCCTGCAATGCCAGCATCCCATATGGGTGCCGGTTTGAGTCCCTGCTGCTCCACTTCTGATATAGCTCTCTTCCATGGCCTGGGAAAGCAGTGGAGGATCTCCCAAGTCCTTGGGCCCCTGCACTTGCATGGGAGACCCAGAAGAAGCTCCTGGCTCCTGGCTTTGGATAGGCTCAGCTCCAGCCATTGAGGCCATTTGGGGAGTGAACCAGAGGAAGGAAGACCTCTATCTCTGCCTTGCCTCTGTCTCTGTGACTTTGCCTTTCAAATAACTAAATAAATCTCTAAAAAACTGTATATATACAGGAAGAATCACTATGTTCCTAAATTTATGCATATAAGAAATGCATGAAGTTTATATACCTTAAATAAAATTTAAAAAATGAAAGTACATACATATGTATATGTATGCCTTTTTGTATCGTGTAAAAACAGCCCATCACAATTTTTTTCCCTTTGATATTTTTAGGGTTCCAATGATAATGGTTCTAAAATAAACAGCTTCCTTTTGGAATGGGATGAGGTATAGTTTTATTTTTAATAACTTTTTTGTGAATTATTATTAATAATATGATGAATTACAGCATTTTATAATGTTCTAATTTTGTGTATATTATTAAAATAGGGCAAAGGCAAAGACTTCAAAAGTTGTTATACGGGCACTATGAAACAGCACAAGATTCTTAAACTGAATGCCTCTACAAAGTATTCATTCAGATTAGCTGCCAAAAATAACTTTGGCTTGAGGTACACTAACTTATTTGCAATATTTTAAAATCTATACTTAAATAAGAACCTGAAACTAATTTTTCCACCTTAACTTATTTTCAGTGATTTCAGTGAAATAGCAGTCTTCCATACATCAGGAATAATGCCTCCAGCACCATCACCTCCCAAGCTGAAAGCAGCAGGAATCTGTAACTTGTCACTAGAATGGTGTGCCCCGGCTAACACAAACCCAAATCTCAGTCTTACTTATGTTCTGGAAATGGAGGAAGCGGGATCCGTAAGTTTTCGTTTTATATACTTTAACCTTCAACCTCATTTTTAGGTAAATTTTTATATGTGTTTCACACTTGGAAACATTTTTAATTTGATGGATTTACTTTCTACTCAATAAGTTCAATCAGGCAATACCTAATTCCTTAGTCTTTCTATTCTGAATGGAGCCAAGGCGGAGCCTGGGCTGGGCAGGCCTGCACAGGGAGATCTGAAAGTGGCCAAATCCCAGCAAATTAGCTAGAAGCAACAGAAGCAAAACTGTAACATACATACTCAGAGAAATGTGTTAGTGTATTCAACTTTGGGTCTGATCTTGGGTAGACACACAGATCTATAGCACCTGAACATAATTTTTCCCTTTCCTCATATTCCTGGATTCCTGATGTGGGTGAGCAACTATTTCATTCCATTCTAACTTTCAACCCTGTACAAACCAGTCAATTTGTATGGGGAGAACATTTATGCTATGTATATTTTACTATGATTTAAATAAAGCAGCAAACATTAAGAAATGCTCTACCCCGGTCTGCCTGATTCCTAAATTCATTGTGGTTCATTTCCAGGGATTAGGCTTTAAACCTAAATACAATGGAGAAGACCTCTCATGTACTGTAAGAAATCTTCAGAGAAGTACTACATACAAATTTAGGGTATGTGGCTATAATTTTTTAATTTGCATCATCTTTTTAAAAAGATTTATTTATTGATTTATTTGAAGGCAGAGTTACAGAGAGGCAAAGGAAGAGAGAGAGAGAGAAAGAGAGGAGAGAGAGAGAGAGAGAGAGAGAGAGAGGTCTTCCATCCGCTGGTTCACTCCCCAGATGGCCACAATGGCCAGAGCTGGGCCAATCTGAACCCACGAGCCAGCAGCCTCTTCTGGGTCTCCCACATGGGTGCAGGGGCCCAAGGACTTGGGCCATCTTCCACTGCTTTCCCAGCCTATAGGAGAGCGCTGTATATGAAATGGAGCAGCCGGGACTAGAACCTGTGCCCATGTGGGATGTTGGCATTGCAGGCAGTGGGTTTACCCACTATGCCACAGGGCCGGCCTCCATCATCTTTGTAATATAAAATTATACACTCCACTAGAGAAAAAACGAGTGTCTTTGCTGTTTGAAATTAAGCCTCTTATTTTGCATCTGGTTCTCAAGAATACTCACTCAACTTGTTTTTTATGTGCAAACTATGTATGCAGTTTCAAGTCATATGATTATTTCCAGTGGCCAACCAAAATATCTTTTATTCAAACAGATCTTTGCCTACAATATGGAAGGAAGAAGTAACTCCAGTGGAGAAGTGAAATTTACTACCTGTCCAGATAAACCTGGATCCCCTACAAAACCATATATAAAGGGAAAGATCCATGCACACAAAGTAAAAATTGGATGGGGTAAATAATGCTATTGTATTTAAAGTTTGCTCTCTCTGTCTTACTATTAACTATTGAGAAGAAATCCTCCTCTAATTTCCCTCAACCTTATAAAATATCCCCTTAACCACTTGTATGTTAAATGCTCTGCAATGTAAATGAGTTGAATTATAAACCATAGTACTTTTTCTAGTTCTCTGTTGAATTTTCTGTTACTATCTCATTAATTCAAAACATGAACAAATTACTGAACTTCATACAGGTTCTTAAATATTGTGGTATATTAATCTGTTTTCCATTGAGATAATAAAATACATGAGGCTGAATGATTCATAAAGAAAAGAGGTTTATTTAGTTTATAGTTTTTTTTTTGTTTGTTTCAATTTTTTTTTTAATTTTTTTTAACTTTTATTTAATGAATATAAATTTCCAAAGTACGAATAATGGATTACTATTAGTTTATAGTTTTAAAGCATGGTACCAGTTCTTTCTAGGCCTCCTTGGTTGTGTCACATCATGGCAAATAACATCACAGAGGAACAGGAGGAAGATGTCACATGGTGAGACAGGAAGCCAGAAAAAAACAGAAGGGGCCAGGCTTGCTCTTATATAACAACCTCAGTGACCTAATTACTTGCTGCTAGGCCCCACCTCACAGATTCCACGCTACTTGAACATCACCACTCTGAAGGCCAAGCTTCCAACATGTAAACCCTTGGGGAACAAACCACATTCAAACCATAGCATATGGTTATTCCAAGTAAGATTATATCTAATATAGAGGTCATAGTTAAAAAGCTACACCAGTGATTAATGTCAACTTGATAAGAAATTTTATAAGTGCTTTTGCCTCTAAACTACAGAAATCAATTTTTTAAAGATGTATTTATTTATTTGTAAGTCAGACTTACAGAGAGGCAGAGGCAGAAAGAGAGAGGTGAAGGGAGAGTAAGAGAGGGAGAGCAAGCTTCCATCCGCTAACCCACTGCCCAAATGGCCTCAATAGCCAGGGCTGGGCCAGGCCAAAGTCAGGAGCCAGGAGCTTCCTCCAGGTCTCCCACGTGGGTGCAGGGGCCCAATCACCTGGGCCATCCTCCACTGCTTTCCCAGGTACATTAGCAAGGAGCTGCTTTGGAAGTGGAGCGTCCAGGACTTGAACCGGCACCCATATAGGATACCGCATGACAGGTGGTGGTTTTACCCACTATGTCACAGTGCTAGCCTCCAGAAATCAACTTTATAGCACATATGTGAATACCTAGCATTTCAGTGTCTTCCAGAGAACTTTAAAGTATGTAAATTCTTCATGTCCAATATTCTAAGTATATAATGAGTTAACTTTTATAATCTGTATTACTTAAAATATTAAGTATTTTGTTTGCATTTTCCCTCATAAAAATTGTTAATTTATGAGATAATATCCAAATGAAAGACTTATAAATTTATTCAATGGTAATTTTAATTTTATTTTTCCTTTTAGAACCACCTACAGATAATGGTGGAACACACATTTCAAGTTACAGTTTAGAAGTTAGTGAAAATTTAGATGGTAAGGCATCCTAATTTTTTTTTAAGATTTTATTTTGAAATAATTTTAGACTCACAAAGAAGTTGAAAAAATAATACAGAGTCCCCATGTAAAACCTTCATTCAGCTTTTCCTAATATTAATATCTTATACAACCACAGTGCAAATATCAAAACCAGGAAATTGGCATTGGTGTGATACTATTAACCAAACACCAGAACTTACTTGAATTTCTCCAGTTTGGGGTAACAAATCATATTTACTTACTGGTGTCTTTCTGATTTTATGGTTAATTCTACTGGAAATAAAAAATATAATTGGACAAAATTAATTTCCAAATTAGTTTTTTATTATGTACATATACATGAGCTATCATGGGAACCCATAAAACTTATAGACTATCTACAAATAAATTATACAAATTTGCTTTTATCCTTTCAGTGAATTTCTGGAATATAGTCTACACTGGCAACACAAGGGAATTTCTGTATAATAAACTGCAACCTGGAACTACTTATAATCTGAGAGTTTTTTGCACTTCACCTGTAGGCCAAAGCCAGGTGAGGAAAGAGAAAGTGAAAAGTTTTTAGATTGGGGATTAAAACAAACTATATCATATTACTAAATGATTTACAAAACTGATCTTGAATTCAGTATAGTCATGTAGTATTTTGTATTTCTCTTAAGCCTTCAGATATATTGACTATTCAAACACCTGCTCTTTCTCCTGCATATTGCCAACCTTCACCTTTAAATGGTAAAACGAAGTCCACAGAAACCAAACTCCAATGCGGTGAGCATTCTTTGTGTGCTATGACTATGACTAACTTTCCTACTTTGTACTTACAACTTTTCATTTTTTAAGATATAAAATATTATTAAAGCAGATCAAATGGTTTTTTACTACAAAATAAAATATTGCTTAGCAAATTGTTTCCTACTTCATAATTGAAACCACATTTAAGTGTCCATAAAATAAATTTGAAAACTGACATGATATTTTGAATCTTCTTATTTTAAGTGCTTTAACAGAGCTTTCGTTTGTATTATTTTAAAAGAAATACCTTTGAAACTGTGAGTATTTGCAAAAAAATTATTTGTTTATTTTTATAGAAAAGCCTCCTGCTGATATAAACTTTGACACACTTATACATGTCAAAAAGGCAAAAAATGACCAAGAAGACACATCAGGACACCCTGGCTCTGAAGTGAGATGCACAGTGAGTAAATGAATTCCTGAAGAATCCATGTTTCTGGTTACAAGCAGCAAGCAGAGCTGAGGAAGCTATATTGTCTATTTGGTCCATTTGTATTTCATTTCATTCTAAATGAATGTATTCTTTTTGATCTGCAATTTTGTTTTTAATTATCTCAAGTCTTGTGATCACATAATTCAGAAATTTGTACTGATGGTGTATCTCCTTTACTTTAGTTCTTCTAATGAGTTGACAAAAGCACCATTACTAAACAGAAATATACAGCAGTTCCCCAATTTTACTTGTTTCCAAATAGCTGTTTGCAGACAATACTGAATTATAACTTAATGTAAGGTAGTAAAAACTTCAAAAGTGAAGTTTAACTTGGTATTCTATCTGGTCATGCTGACTTTCAATGCACCTGACCTTAAAAATCATCCATAAAATGCGAGAAATGCTAAATATTCTTTACTTGACATACATAAACCAGACTAAAACACTTTTCAGTAAGTAAAAGGCACCAGTTTTGATACAGGAAACTCTAATTAGATTGACATCATTAAGACCAAAAATATGAAGTAGACAGTGCCTCCTGCCTTCAGCTCTTGTTGCCTTTAGCAGACTATTGAACACAAACCTGAACAAAGTGAGTCTTGCTGGATTCTGAAGCACTGAAGAGATTTCCCTAATATTTAAACATAAACCCAATCTCCCAACAGGCTTTGCAGTGACATTCACTATTTTTATGAAAAGTTGAACATTATTAAGTCCAATCATAGCCTTATAAAGGAAAAAGAGTGAGAGTATTTACTGAGCTGGAATTACTACCAAAATTTCAACAAACTCCATCATTTATTTAACCACACAAAACAATTTTGTCCAACAAAAATACTCTGTCAGCCATTCATGATCTGAATGAGTGAGATCAATTAATTTATGGGACTGATAAACAATGTCATGAGACATTTCTGTTTTGTAATAAGGTGGTAGCCACCTATTACTTATTGATATCTTTTTAAAATCAGCTATCAAGTCTGCCCTTTCATTCTTCTTCTTAATGCCAGTGAAAATAACTTCTGTTCCAGGGATGTATTTCTTGGGATTCTCCAAATACTCCATCAGAGTGTCCTCTCCCCAGGTGATACCTTTGTTCTTGTTGGTGTCTGTGTAAGAGAATCTAAGGGCCTAACCTGTCTTCTACCCAAACAGATCATGTAGATTTCATCTAGTCTTGTGCCTATGTCCCTTCCTCATTTTTCCATTGATGGCATTGGGCACATTTCTGAACAAAAATCTTTCCTTTCTCAACATCACCCATTTGTAATTAGCTCTTTCATCACTTGCGCTACAAAGATCTGCACTCAGAAGTTGGTTGTCCTGCTTGCAAATGAATATATACTTTTACTTCTTGAGAAAGAGGGAATGACCATGTTTACTTAATCATTTGTGTATTTTCTCATTTATTTGTTCATTTGTAGCTTGGATCTCAGTCAATGAAGTGTGAGACTTTACCAGTCCCAAGTCCTCCTTCTCAATGGAAAACACCTGTGATAACCTGCAAAGGACCAACCTGTGTTGTTGTTAGTTGGGGAGTATGTTATCAATTTATTTTTTAATTTTGATAGCATAAAACAATAGTAATTGGCTTAGAAATGCTTAGTAAAGTCTTAAATTCTCTAAGGAGTCAGAATTTAAAATTAGGTAGGTTCCCACAAATCTTGGACCATGGCTTCTAGAACACACCTGGGACCTAAGACTTATTAAGAAGGCAATGGCAATGGCAATACTCCTCTATAAATTCTGCTTTTGAGGAGGATTATAAATTTGGAAACCCAAATAGACTATAAATAGATAACTAATAACATTTTTTAAAGAAAAACAAGAATAATAAAGTTAAGTCAATCTATACAATTATAGAATTTGGCTTTTTAAAAAAAAGTTTAAATGAGAAAAATCTCTGGCAATGTATGTTTGCATGTAACACATAAGAAATGTGATTATAAGATAATTAAGCCTTGGGGCTGGAGCTGTGGCATAGAAGGTTAAGCCTCTGCCTACAGTGCCAGCATCCCATATGGAAGCCAATTTGAGTCCTGGCTGCTCCACTTCCGATCCAGCTCCCTGCTAATGTGTCTGGGAAAGTAACAGAGGATGGCTCGAGTGCTTGGACCTCTGCCACCCACTTGGGAGACCCAGATGAAACTCCTGGCTCCTGGCTTCAGCCTGGCCATTGTTGCCATTTGAGGAGTGAACCAGAAGATGGAAGATTGATCTCTCTCTCTCTCTCTCCCTCCCTCCCTTCTTCCCTCTATTTCTCTCTTTGTAATTCTGCATTTAAAATAAATCTTTAAAAAAAATTAAGCTTTAGGCCGACGCCGCAGCTCACTTGGCTAATCCTCCGCCTGCAGCACTGGTACCCCAGGTTCTAGTCCTGGTTGGGGTGCCAGATTCTGTCCCCGGTTGCCCCTCTTCCAGTCCAGCTCTCTGCTGTGGCCCGGGAAGGCAGTGGAGGATGGCCCAAGTGCTTGGGCCCTGCACCCGCATGGGAGACCAGGAGGAAGCACCTGGCTCCTGGCTTCGGATCGGTGCAGCACGCCGGCCGTGGTGGCCATGCGGGGGGTGAACCAACGGAAAAGGAAGACCTTTATCTCTGTCTCTCTCTCACTGTCTAACTCCACCTGTCAAAAAAATTAAGCTTTAAAAAATTATTTTGCATCCCTGTGAATTTTCTCCTGTTCAAAATAATCAAGTTAAAAAATATAATAATTGGGTAATTATGCAGCCACATGGGTATCTTTGAATTTGTCTTCCCTTTCTCCCAGACTAGCAGATGGTCTTTAATGTTGAAATGAAAGCCTTAGTCTGTTAGTAATAAATGACAAATATGACTACATCACTGTACGAAGCTTGGTTTATGTTTGAGTTCACTAATCAATAGTAATTCTAACATTAATATATCTAAATTTGCTCTTTTTAAGTAACTTATTTAAAAATAATCTTAATCAGGGCTGGTGTTGTGGCACAGCAGGTTCAGCTGCCACTTACAACGCTGGCATCTCATGTCGAACTGTCAGATCAAGTTCTGTCTGCTCCACTTCCAATCCAGTTTCCTGCTAATAAACCTGGGAGGTAGTAGATGATGGCCCAAGTGCTTGGGTCCCTGCCACCGTGTGGGAAATCCAGATGTAATTCCGGCTCCTGGCTTCGGCCTGACCAGCCCTGGCTATTGCAGCCATTTGGAAAGTGAATAAGCAGATGGAAGATGTCTCTCTCGCTCTCTCTTTCTCTCTCTCTCTCTCTCTGCCTTTAAATAAATAAATAAATAAACTATTTTAAAAATCAACTAAAATAGGGGCCGGTTTTGTGGCACAGCAGGTAAAGTCTACACCTGCAATGCCAGCATCTCATATGGGTGCCAGTTCGAGTCCCGGCTGCTCCATGTCTGATCCAGCTCCCTGCTAATGGCCTGGGAAAAGTAGCAGAAGATGACCCAAGTGTTTGGGCCCCTGTCAACCATGTGGGAGACCTGGAAGAAGCTCCTGGCTCCTGGCTTCAGCCTGGTTCTACCCAGGCCATTGCAACGACTTGGGGGGTAAACCAGCAGATGGAAGACCTCTCTCCTCTTCTCTTTCTCTGACTTTCAAATAAATAAATAAATCTTTAAAAATAAATAAAAGTAATCTTAATAAATTATAGATGTTCACCTAATATGTAGAAGAACTAATCATTTTCCTTAATTTTATTTGAGGCTTTTAATGTTATGGTGTTCTGCCTTTTGTTTAATTATTTCTACATTTATCTTTATCTTACATCATTTAATAGATTATAAGCTGTGACAATGAAAGTATCATGGTGTAACTCTCCACAATATCTAGTACAGTCACCAGTTAGAGAAGAAATTCAATTTCTGTGTTTGTGTCTTTCAGATTCCTGAATGCAATGGTGCTGAAATCACTGACTACCGACTAGAATGGGGACAAATTGAAGAATCAATGCATTTGATTTACACCGGCCCTTGTCTGAGTTACAAAGTGAAAGGTCTCATTCCTGGAACTACATATTTCTGCAGAGTCCAGGTAAACATGACAGTTCTTCCAATGTAACCAAAATAACAGTTATTAACCTATATTATCCACATTTGTAATACTGGCAGAATTTCTAGTGTAGAGACCAGAAAGGAGTCACAGAATTACAAGTCTTAAATATTTCTTTGAAGATTTACTTTCTTTATTTGAAAGGCAGAGTTAGAGAGAAAGGGAGAGAGAGAGAAAGAGAAAGAGGTCTTCCATCCACTGGTTCACTCCCCCAAGTGATTGTAACGGCCTGGGCAGGGTCAGGCTAAAGCCAGGAGCCAGGAGCTTCTTCCATGTCTCCCATGTGGATGGCAGGGGCCCAAGCACTGGGGGCATCCTCTGTTGCTTTCCCAGGAGCACTAGCAGGGAGCTGGATTGGAAGTAGAGCAGCCAGAACTCCAACCGGCACACATATGGGATGCTGGAGCTACAGGTCGCAGCTTAACCTGCTATGTCACAATGCTGGCCCCATAAATATTAAATTTGCTCACATTCGGTGACAACACGAGCTCTTTCACTTGGCATTTAAAGCCCCATATAATCTCTCATCTATTTTCCATTCCAAATCGGTATGTCTTATGTTCTCCACAATTCTGTTTCCCAAATTTTACTGAACTCAGGAATCACCTGAAAAACCTGTTTAAAAACAAAAATTCCAGGGCCAGTGCTGTGGCATAGTAGGCTAAGCCTCTACCTGTGGTGCTGTCATCCCATATGGGCACCAATTCATGTCCCAGCTGCTCTTCTTCCAAACCAGCTTCCTGCTAATGGCCTGGGAAAGAAGTGGAAGATGGCCTAAGTGCTTGGGCCCCTGTGCCCAAGTGGGAGACCCGAAAGAAGCTTCTGGCTCCTGGCTTTGGATTGGCCCAACTCTGGCTGTTGCGGCCATTTGGGGAGTGAACCAGCAGAGGGAAGACCTTACTCTCTGTATCTTCCTCTCTCTGTAACTCTATCTCTCAAATAAATAAAATCTTAAACAAAAAAATATGGATTCTTATACGCCCACTCCAATTTATCAAATGAAAATTTCTAATATAGAGATTTGCTAATCTGTATATTTAACAAGCATCCAAATAATAATTATCATCAGTTAGGAAAAAACACATGAAAGCTTAATCATGAATATATCTGTTCTACCACCACCCCCAAGTATCCCTTGTACATTTGTTCATACTGTACTCTTAGCTGGGTCCCTTCTAACCCAGCTCATTCATAATGTTTTCCTGATAGTGTTAGCTGGAAGAGATCTCTTCCTTTTTTGAACAACTAGAATTTTAAAATACAAAACTTTAAGGTTTGAGAGAGAGTCCAAAAGTCTGATATGTTTTCCCTATGGAGTTTAAACCATCAAAATAAACTGGGAATATGGGTCATCTAATCTCTATCTCCAAGACTAAATTCTTCATCAGATTTTTTTTGAATGTTCCTACTGTTTATTGGAAAAAATGCCCTCACAATATATATTTATTAGTCTATTGCAAAAATCTAAAGAAGAGGTTATAAATTAAGATTAATGCTGTTGCAGTGGAATGCTGAGACCTTAAGGGATGTAAGACATTAGAAAGATAAAAATCAATGGAATGAGTTCCCACCACAATGGAGTAGATTCTTTCCTCTGAGATCCTCCCTCTTAAAATCAGAAAACCTTAAACATAACATAACAAGCAAGTATAGGAAGATGTTGAAAGGTGAATAGAAGAACACAAACTGCCTAGGAACCTCAAACTTGGTGAAAACATAGTGGTGAGACCCCTAGTTGTCCTTATCATAAAATCACCCTTTCTAAGAAAGGGTGCTAGGGAAGGTTCCAACTCAAAACTGCCAAGAGGAATGGAGAGAGCAACAGAAACTCCAAGAAAAGCCTACTACCTTCAGCAAAATGCCCAGGAAAAGGGTGGCCTAACAACAGGAAACCTTTTTTGGCAATACCCATCTTACTCCAGCCAAACTTTAATAGAGAAACCATAGACATCCCTGTTATTCCTCAGCTCCTGAAGTTTCAACAGGTTAAGCAGGAAGCCAACCCACCCAGAAGCAAGCAAAAACACTTAAATATCCCCACCCAGTAGTTTTGGCAGAGCCTAGCAAGGAGTTAACCTTCCATCCCCTACCTTATGCTCTTCTTCCAGCTGGTGAGTGTGGCAGGCAGGGAGTTGACAATTTTCTATACATCTCTGTCAGAAGCAAGCAACATTCTAATTCCTCTACAGGAAGAGTATTGGCAAACTAAGCCTCCGCCCTCACCCAACAGCAACAGACTGAATAAGATGGTGTGATTCATGCTAGATTGTGCTTCACTTTCCTCCTTACCCTGTGTCAATGAGACCTTGTGAGGAACAGCGCCTCCATATTCACGTAGCAGCAGTTAGATTGAAGCAAGCCTAGCCAGCACTTGGGTTTCCCTCCACACAACACCAGTAGGGAGCTTATCCTCAACATTCTCTCAGTATCAAATAGGCTGATGTAGGTAATGGGAAGCTATGCTAAATTGCACACCCACTTCCATCCCTTGGTGTCATCAAATCCAGCTAGGAACTGAGTTTTTACCCCCAACCTACAGGATCCAAGAGGGGTGAGTGAGTCCTCCACTTACCCTCTAAAGACTCAGTGAGGAGCTGAACTTGTACCCTCATTCAGAGGCACTAATACAGTGCAAGCAGTTGCCCCACTTTTGCTGAAATAGCATCAGCAGAGCCTAGAGAGGAGCTGACTATGCATCCATCTAACCCTTGTGCTATATCTCAAGAGAGTTAGTGCCAACTAGAAAATTATTAAATAACACCCAGAATTTTGTTGTATAATCTTCAAAATGCTCATAATAAATAGAAAATCATTAGATAGGGGCTAGTGCTGTGGCATACAAGGCTAAGCCTCTGCCTACAGTGCCAGCATCCCATGTGGGCACCAGTTCTAGTCTCAATTGCTTCAATTCCAATCCAGCTCCCTGTTAATGTGCCTGGGTAAACAGTGGAGGATGGCCCAAGTCCTTGGGCCCCTGCACCCACGTGGGAGATCCAGAAGAAGCTCCTGGCTCCTGGCTCCTGGCTTCAGCCAGGCCCAGTCCAAGCCATTGCGGCCATTTGGGGAGTGAACCAGAGGAAGATCGATCTCTTTCTCTCCTCTCTCTATTTCTGACTTTCAAATAAATAAATAAAATATTTTTAAAAAAATCGTTAGGTATTAGGAGAACCAAGAAAATCACAAATAGTTTCTCCCATTCTGTAAGTGGTCTCTTTGCTCTATTGATTGTTGCCTTTGTTGTGAAGAAGCACTTTAGTTTGATGAAACCCCAATTGTCTATTTTGCTTTTGTTTCTTGTGCTTTGGAGGTCTGAGCCAGATATCACTTGCCCATTCCAATGCACTGAATTATTCCCCAATGCGTTCTTATAGAAGTTTCAAATTTTCAGATCTCACATATAAATCTTTAATTCATTTTGAGTCTATGTTTGTACACTGTGACAGATAGGGGTCTAGTTTCAGTCTTTTATGGACAGCTTTAGCTATTCAAAGTCCTTTATGTTTCCTTATGAATTTTACGATTGTTTTTGCTAGCTCTGGTTTTCTTACTATAGGATAAATTTTGAATATTTTTATCTGACCAATAATTGAATTAAATGACTCTAAAAATTCATGAGACAAAGTGCTTGCTTGGATGTAGTTCTTGCCCTTCTTTATACATTTGCTCTTAGTGTTAAATGTATAGTCACATGGTTTAGCTTAAGCATTGTGCAGTGAAGCACAGAAATCCTTTATTACAACATACAGTAAGGCCGGCGCTGTGGCTCACTAGGCTAATCCTCCGGCTTGCAGCGTCGGCACACCGGGTTCTAGTCCCAGTCGGGGCGCCGGATTCTGTCCCGGTTGCCCCTCTTCCAGGCCAGCTCTCTGCTGTGGCAAGGAGTGCAGTGGAGGATGGCCCAAGTACTTGGACCCTGCACCCCATGGGAGACCAGGAAGAAGCACCTGGCTCCTGCCATCGGATCAGCAGCACGCCGGCCGCAGCACGCCGGCCACGGCGGCCATTGGAGGGTGAACCAACGGCAAAGGAAGACCTTTCTCTGTCTCTCTCTCTCTCAGTGTCCACTCTGCCTGTCAAAATAAAATAAAATAAAATAAAATAAATTTAAAAAAACAACATACAGTAAGGCATCAACCAGCCCCAAAGAGTAAGTTATTTAATTTCCATGTACTTATGTGGTTCATTGTTTTCTTGTTATTGATTTCTAATTTTATTACATTGCGATCAGATAAAATAATATGATTTCCACTTTGTTTTCAAATTTGTTGATATTTGTTTTGTAACCTGTCATATGGTATATCCTGGACAATGTTCCATATGCTGTTGAGAAGACTGTGTATACCACAGCTGTTGGATGGAATGTTTTACAGATGTCTGTTAGATCCAATTGATCAGGGTGCAATTTAACTTTGCTGCTTCTCTGCTGATTTTCTGTCTGGATGATCTGTCCATTTTTGAAAGTGGTACCAAATTCCATGACTATTTTTGTATTGGAGTCCATATCTCCCTTTAGATAGATTACTATTTTCTTTATGTATCTGGGTGTCACAATATTGGGTGCATGTATATTTATGATTGTTATTTCCATTTATTATCACATAATGGCCTTCCTTGTCTCTTTTCACTAACTTTAATGTAAGATTTATTTTAAATGATATAAGTAGGGATACTTCTGCTTTCTTTTGGGTTCAGTTTACACGGAATATTTTATTACATCCTTTCATTTTCAGTCTGTTCATGTCGTCAGTGGTGAAGTAAGTTTCTTATAACCAGCATATGGTTGGGTCTTGATTTTTTTTAATCCATTGGGTCACTCTGTGTTTTTACCTGGAGAATTTAATTAATTTACACTGAAGGTAATTGTTGATAAGTAAGTTCATACAACTGATATTTTAATGCTTGTCTTCTAGTTTTATTGTAATTCCTTTCTTTCTCCTCTGACAATGTTACTTTGTGATTAATGGTTTTCTCTAGCAATGTGC